GTGGCCTTGGCTAGTCGGTCAACTGCCGACCTCCGCTCCTAAGATCCGTCCTTTTATTTCCTCTTAACTACGAATCATGATTCACGATATGTCCTATAATGTTGAAAACGACATTATTAGAAAATGATTTCGACAATTGTGACGGTAAGCAGTAAGGAAAAAGTAAAAAAATGAAGCCAAAAAATCCTAAAAGCTTTTGCTTAATGCATAAATAAATACTAACTGAAGAAAAAGTCGCTCAGCAAAACCTGCTTACAGTGACTTCGAAAATTTGCATTTTTTGGCATTTGAGAAGTATATTTCATTTGGTTGTATTATTTTAAACAATAAAAATAAGAAAAATGAATTAAAATCTGTTTTCAGAAAATTTTTCTCCAATATATTTTTAATACTTCACCACCTTATTACTTTTTGAAAAAAAAAAAAAATGAAAAGAAGCAAAAGTTAATGTACATCGAGATACTAAAAAATGAGTTGATATCTTTCTACGAGTATGTATGAAGTATCAAAGAAATCTATTTACGAGATGCTCTAAAAATTAAGTGATGAAAGTCAAAGTCAACAATTAATATATTAAAATTAATGGACATATGCATAAAAAGAATTTTCTACTTAAATTGAAATTTGCAACACATTTAAAGAAATTGATTCAACAAACAATTAAGTCTTTTAATTAGGAGAACAGATATTTCTTATTACTTTATATATATGTGGGGACTTGTGTCGCTGCCTACCATTGAAATTTCAAAAGCAAAGGACATCTATATATGAAAACTAAAAAATAATCCAAATATATTTGAGTATGGTCATTATTCATCCTAAAAGAAATTCTAACGAGAAATTGGGAATTTAAAAATTGTTAGAAAATTAATTTAATAAAATATAAGATGTTCGGTTAAAAAAGAGAGGAGGGGGAAATTACATGAAGATGTCACTTTTGAGTGAAATGTGACAACCACTTTTAGTTTTCTAAATAATATTCATTTTTTCATTACTTTTTGTAAATTTTTCTAAAATATCATTTTCTTTTTAAAAGTGTTAACTCTATTCCTTTCATACAAATTTCAAACCATCTAAACATTATCGACAAATATAAATAATACTCGTCAACTTAGCTCACACGGCATTCTAACATCTAAATTTCAATTTAATTATTGAAATAAGAGATATAGTATGAAGAATACATAAATCAAGTTACAATCAAATATCCACAAAGATGAATTCAGGAAAAAAAAAAACCAACATTCCTCCAATTTCGACGGAACATAAGCGTCATTCTAATTTCATATCGAGTTCTAACTCCATCTTGTCAAATTTCTTTGATTCACTAGAACCCCCTATTTATTTATTCATCAAACTAGTACAAACCATATTAAATAACATACATGCGTAATTTATTCTTTGTTATGATATTTATTGATAAATCCCTAAAAACTCAATTCCATTATGAATAGTGGAAATCTCAAGAAGAGGCTTAGAGATGGCAACGGTTCGTTTCGGGGTCAGTTCGGCCAAAACCATAATTGCACTATCAAATTTTTGGCCATACCATAACCGCACCTCACCATGAAAGTCGGTTCGGTTCGACTCGATTAATAACTCGGTTCGG